TTAGGCGTATGTGGTTGGTTGCAGGCGCGTACACAGGGGGAGGGTTTGGGGGGTTAAACCCCCCCCCCCTTTGGTATTTTTTGTGTGTAAACCCCCCCCCCCCCCTTTTGCATTTTTTGTTGTTTTTTTAATTATTTTTTTATAATATTAAAAAAAAAAAAAAAAAAAAAAAATATTCCCATGGCTGACCTCAAAAAGATGACCTTACCCCCCCCCCCCAACGGAGCAAAATGTCAAATTTTCAAATTTCGATACCAAAAAAAAAAAAAGTGTCCTCTTACCCCCCCCCCCCCGCTTATTCAGCGGCTGGCTGAGTCGTTGCGTAATTTTCGGGCCAATTTATAAATGTTAACCCCCCCCCCCCCCCCTTGAAAAAATCCTGCGTACGCGCCTGGTTGGTTGTGTCTTAAAGGTAGCATGTCCCAAATTGAAGGCCAAAAGTATGAAAAGCTTAAATTCCAATAGCATTTGAAAGATAATACTAATTAGGATTTTCATACCCTTGTACCGAATGGTAGTACGTTTTGTTCTGCGCAACGAAGTGGGCTATTGATGTGGACAAATGTTCATGTACCCTTTACATCTCATTTTATGTAAATTATGACCATTAAAGAGAAAAAAAGTCAGTCCGTCAATAAATATTGTCTGACAGTGAAGTCTAGAAAGTAAACGGGTTTCCTTGCATAAGCACACTGCTAACGTTTAAATTTCACAGATAGGACATACGTGACATAATTCCTGCAACGTTCCGTACAGAATTTGATGTTGGCTGCAAAAGGGATACACTAGTTTTTCAACCGATATTTCAAAGTTTAAACATAAAGTCAGTCCCCCTACATGAATTGCAGCCCTTGGTTCGCACATTAAAACATGATGTAACAAAAATATCACTTTTCTGTTCTAGAATGTAAAACATGGCTTGAATCCTCATGTAATAGGTGCAAAATTACCGTTACCATTACTGTAACTTTTTGTAATATTATGGAAAATATTTATACAGGTGTGTTAAAACAAAAGGTGAAATCTAATAAACAAAATATATGGGGAAAAGTGAGGGGATGACATCATCAACTCACGAATTTGCATACAGCCTATATGATACATATCACTGTTTCACACATAAAATTATGTGCAACTTTAAATTCCATAACTTTTTTTTTTCGTCGGATTTTGCTGAAATGTTTACCATTTTGTCTGTTTATTATTCTCTATTAATTCACTTCACCTTCCATAAATCAGTGTTGATACAGTGTTACTGAAGATTCAAATAATAACATCCGCCTTATATGTTACGATTCTGAGGAGACAGAAATTACCATTTCATCCTGACCGCAGACACGCCTCATTATTTTCAACAAAATATCGAATTTATATTTCTCGTGTGATAGGGTTTCAGTTTCAGTTTCAGTTTCAGTTTATTTTCATATTTCTCACATGTTGTATAGTACATCATTACATATAGCATGTTACATTTTGAACTAATTTTAGGATGCGTTTATACAAACAAACAAAAAAGAATTATACATAAGACTAAGTTGAATAAGGGAAGAAATATGATGGAGCCTAAAGAGAAAGCAATGCTTGTAGGTCATAGGCTCCGGAAGTTACAACAATGACATAGTCTTGTGTATATTAAGAAAACGTAATTTAATTTAATTTAATTTAATTGAAACTTATTATGAAGAAAAATAAACAATATTCATACACTTAGCAATATTTGTATAACATTTTCACTACCCGTACGCAATGGCAATTCTCATAGGAGCATACCAAGATGTTTGATGGTTTGAAGGTTTTACCACTTGAGGAGGATGAAGAGGGCTGATATAGATTTTTTATTGTTTGTATTTTGCTTACCAGAGACATAAAACAAACTTTTGTTTATTGTTTTGCTCGTCACAGAACACGTAATATTCAGACGCGTTTGCCCCCCCCCCCCCCCCCGCCAGAGAATCCTCGATCCGCAGATTGTTAATAATTTATGCATGACAAATATTATGAGAGTATGTATATGTAATGCTGTATAAAGGCTGATATATGACGAGTGTACAGAACTGCTTGTATTGCCTATTTGTACGTGTATAGTATTTGGATAATAAAATGGCATATGCTGTTCCTTTTCACAAGGCAAGTGTCAACGTGTCAATTATTTATGAAAGCTTAAAGCCCGTCTGTACTAGTTTGGCCAGGGGATTAGACCTCCCTGCAAGTTTACTAACAGGTGTTTATCTCATCAAATCAGTTCTCAATTAACATAAGAAAAAGGGGATCATGGAGAACCAACATGCACTGACTAGGCATTGTTTGCTATATAGAGGGCGCAAGTAGCTGTCGGTAGTACAGTGGGGTTTAAGATACAATGTATGAGTGCCTTAAGATTCCAGTCACACGGACGAGACCTACATCAAGCCAAACAAATCTAAATACATTATCGGAAAGGACAAGATATTTTCAATAAAACTTTGTCCAAATGTGACGAACTACTCAATTTACATCTTATAATTGGAGTGGAAGAAATCCAGCGTGCTATTTTGCTGTATTGGGCAAACCTCTGGCAAAGTTGTGTGTGCCATCATGAGTAAGAAGTGTCCATTAAATGTTAATGCGATAGCAACCTGGCTTATTGATTAATTCCTATACAGACTGGTAATGATGATAGTCGCCAAGAGATTTTATAACAGTATTTTGAAACCCTCTCTTTAAATATTGTGCCTAGTGTCCAAATGGAAATCTTCTTAAGTATAAGCTTATCTTTTTATCATCGACTCGGCATAGCCGGGAAGTTTGAAAAACAGTTATTGCATTCTTAAAAAAACGAAATGAAAATTATGTTCTCTTTGTTTGATTGTTTGTCATAAAGGTGGTATCAATCTAGAATATTTAGTTCATTAGTAAATCTCCAAAGAAGTCATCAATTACATCACGAATAATCATAAGAATGTACCATACTAATTTATGACTGAGCAATGACCTGGTTAAAAAAAGTTGGTTATGAAAAAAGGAGATAAAGATATATGTACTAAATGATATACTTAATTTTAATTCATATACTATTTTCCATTTGAACTTTACAAAAATAAAATGAGCATATAAATGATAGGATTTTCAAATATTAAATGAATATGGAGACTGGTCTTCTATATATCATTTACATTTGACGTTTACAGAACGTTGTTTGTATAGCACTGAACTAAAAGTCTTGATATCGACGGCAGAAAACCCATTTTACTGGAGCCCGATAGAGTACATCATGAAATGTGTAACAAATAAAATACATTAGATATGAACACAGTAAAGATAGAAAGAAAGCAAGATAGAAAGACAGAAAGATAGAAAGAAAGCAAAAAAGAAAAGACGAAAGCATGAAATGAAAGTAGATAGAGAGAAAGGAAGCCAATATTACGTACTAGCTGTGTATAAAATTGGTGTAGGAATGACTTAATTTAAACATACATGTATATGAATATGACGTCAACAGGAAATTATGTCAGGAAATCATTATTTTTTGTACTTTAAATAACGTTAGTTTTCATTTGAAAAGCTACAAGTAATGGGATAACATTATATTCACATCATACATTGATACTGACCAGTGGCGTACGCATGATTTTTTCAAGGGGGGGGGGGTTTTAAAATCGGGTCCAAAATTTCGTAACGACTCAGGAAAATTTGAAAATCGCGCCGGCCAAAAAGTCGCTCAGGGGGGAGGGGGGGGGGGGGGGGGGGGGGGGGGGGGTAAGCGGACACTTTTTTTTTTTTTTTGTCCCAAAAAAATCGCAACGACTCAACCGACCGCTGAATAAGCGGAGGGGGGGGGGGGGGGGGGGGGGGGGGGGGGGGGTAAGAGGACTTTTTTTTTTTTTTTTGGTCTAGAAATTTGAAAATTTGACATTTTGCTCCGTTGGGGGGGGGGTAAGGTCACCTTTCTTAGGTCAGTCATCGGGGTAATTTTTTTTTTTTTTTTTAAATAATAAAAAAAAAAAAAAAAAAAAAAAAAAAATCAAAGGGGGGGGGGGTTTTAGGGATATTTTAGGGGGGTTTACACACATAAAAATATCAAGGGGGGGTTTAACCCCCCAAACACCCCCCCCCCCCCCCCTGCGTACGCGCCTGATACTGACTGTAAATTTACAGTGTTTTTTTAATTTTTATCGTAATTATTCATTTGAAAAGTCAAAGGCATCATAATACAAAGAACGAAGAAACGACGCAAAGTCGAGAAGATGAGTATAACATGAATGAGGCAGGCAGCTAAAATAACCGAAACTAAAAGGCCCTGCATTATTTGGATTCATGCCTCCTTCCATATGTTCATATGCTCTTCAAACGTGTTACGCCATTACACATACATTACTTAAATATTCTATTAGTATGACCTCGAAAATGGAGGAACTTAGGGGTTACCGTACTTAGATCTGAAGAAAACAAATCCCAATTGCAATACGCTCCGAAAAAAAAAACATATACAGAATTACCTAAGGGCCAATGTAAAAAAAAAAAAAAAAAAAGCTGATATTATGGCCGACCGAATTGAAGATAATTACATGGCCAAGCTTGAGAACGAAAAAAAGGAAGAAATATTATATTGGCAAGAAAATCCATGCTTGTATCCGCTTAAGTTCACTATTAACGGTCCTCAGGAGATATTGAGGGTCACGGTGTGAATAAAACATATTAGTGTCGTCTGCAAAGAGAATAAAAGACATTATCTTTTATGCTCTTCAAAAGTTTTACGCCATTACACATAAATTACTTAAGTATTCTATTAGACAAAGTATGAACACAAAAATTAAAGAAATTAGGGGTTACCATTCTTAGATCTGAAGAAACAAATCCCAATTGCAATACGCTCCGAAAAAAAAACATATACAGAATTACCTTAGGTCCAATGTTTAAAAAAAGCTGATATTATTGCCGACTGAAATGAAGATATTTCCATGGCCAAGCTTGAGAACGAAAAATAAGAAGAAATATTATAATGTAAAGAAAGGTCATTATCTTTCAACTCCTAAAAAAAGGATAATTTTGTCTGCATTATTCTAAATACAAATCACTGCAGATCCCACGCCTATTTTGTATTTTCCCAGAGAACGTGCTTTAGACTTCACATCTAAAATGGAATAGTGTAATTGAGTTTGGTGGTGACGCGAACGCTTTTCGTGAACAGTTCCCAGAAACATTCTTGATTCCTTGGGTCTGCATCCCACTGGAGGTAGGGTCGGTTGAAACTCAGCAAGAGGCGAATCAGGTAGGGAAGATCTTCATCCGCAATGTCGTCCATGAACACGAAAAGAACCGCGTCGCGTTTGGCGTGGTTGACGTGTTGCAAGGCAATGCGTAGTTTGGTCAGGAACCAGCTGTCTTTGATCGCACTTTGACTGACGATGAATACAGACTTGTAACTATTGTCAATGACGTGGGCAACAGCATCAAGCCGATACATCCCAAGCGGGAGCATGTCGTCTCCGACCAGGAGCCTGACCTCGGGTTCGCGCTCCTGAATATTCGGCACCAAACTCTCATTGACCCATTCTTCGTCGGCGTCTTCGAAAACGATGTTGATGTCGTATTCGTAATCCCGATCTTCGACTATTTCGCTGTAACCGATGATGCAGAGTTTCAAAAGGAAGCATTTGTAGTTCATCCACCAACGATTGTAGTATAACAAGACCATGATAGCTATTATCATCACAGAAACCACCGATATGCAGGAATATAAGAGAATCTTCGGACCACAGTAGAGGGCGGGCTCGAACTCTTCAAATGGTTTACCTTCAAGTTTTTGAGGAGAAGCACTAGAGCAAATGGTACCATCTAAGAGGACTTCTGCACTGCTGTTTTGTATCCAGTTTCTTAACCAATTATTTTTGCAATTACATGACAGTGCTTTTCTCGACAAATCTAAGGTAGACAAAGAAGGTATAAGTGGACCTAGAGTCTTTTCCGTTATGACATCTATGTTCGTGCTCGACAGGCTAAGCACAGATAGCTTTTTAGTGCGTACAAATAACTGATCGTCTAAACTTGAGATAGGATTTCGACTCAGGTAAAGAGAAAATAAATTACCCTGATCATGAAATATCTCGGGGTGAAGATCTTTTAACGCATTGTCATCCAGGGAAATCAATTGAAGATTAGCAAGGCCTTTGAAAAGGTCTGGATTTAGCCTTGGAAGTGACATGCCTTGAAGGTTTAGTTGCTCTAGGCTGTGAAGACCTTTAAAGCATCCACTTGGCAATTCACTTTGAAGCTGGTTGACACTTAAGTCAAGTTTCTTTAATTTGCGTAGGTCCCGAAATATAGATATGTTACCTTCATTGTCCCATATGTCAGAAATATGAAGATAATTGTTATCAAGCATCAATTCAGACAGTGATGATAGACCAGTGAATGTGTTATGGGGATCAAGTGAGTTGATACCAGAATTACTTAGATCAAGGGTTATCAAGGTTGATATAGTGCCGAACCTCAGAGGACTGATCAGTAAATTGTCTTCCATCTGAAGGACTTCGAGGCTGGCCAGACCATAAAAGGAATCCGGGTGAATGACCCTGATAGAATTGAAATGAAGTGTTAGGTAAATCAAAACCTTCAAACCAACGAACGCTTTCGATGGGATCTCATGCAGGTAATTGTTACCTAAGGACAGTGCCCTAAGCGGTGGTTCCCAAACCCCTGTTTCAGCTGGGGTCTTTAAAGACACAACCCTACAGTTATCAAGGAAAAGCTCTTCAAGTGAAGACAAGTTATTAAAACCCGATGGAGAAATTACTGTTATTTTATTATCGGTCAAATGCAACCTCTCCAGTCTTGTTAAATAATGAAAAACGTTATCAGGGATTGAAGAGATGTTGTTTTCACTCAAGGACAAAGTTTTCAATGCATGTGTTTCCAAAGGAATGAAGATATCAGCAGAAAGACAAGGTAACCTTGTTCTCACTAGAGTTATGTAAGTAACATAAGGAGCTTTTACCGTAGCCTCAAAAATCTCTACAACCCCTTTTTTAAATAAAGGGTTCTCTCGAAATCGGATTCCACTAACATTCATTCCATGCAAACTAAGTGGCTGTATCGATGATATATCATTTGATGAGAAGTCAATGAGATTAATGTTGCTACAAACGTTTAAATTTGTCAAATCACTCTCTCGTATTCGTTTGATATGATTATTACTGAGATCTATTAACATAATGTTACATTCTGTGGCAAAGTGCATCCTGAAATTCGCTGACTTGATAGAGTTCTCTCCAAGGTCAATAAAAGATAGATTTGGTGCCTTCAAGTACAGATCTGGTACATCCGTTAAGTTATTGTCTCTCAGAAATATATCCGTCATGTAAAAGTTTTGACTAAAGAGTTGACTCGGCAGGACAGACAGTCGATTCCCCACTAAATTCACCGACTGCAAGAGATAGAGTTCAAAGAACGCACCTACTTCAATGGCACATATAACGTTATACTTCAGCGATATATCCACAAGATTCTTCAAATGGGCAAAAGATTCGTTGCGGATCTTTTGCAGCAAGTTGTAGGAAAGTGACAAAATCTGGGCGTTCGAAGGAATATCTCCTGGAACTTCTGTGCGACCGCGGTGAGAGCAGTTCACCATCCTTGTTGAGACGTCAACATAGCAGGACGTTCCTTGTCCCGGGTTGGTAGGGTTATGATCGGAGAGACCGTTGTCAGTTCTTCCAGGATCTTCCTTCGCAGCAAGTGATGTTGTCCCTACTATGATGAAGGTCATGTGAATGATGCCGAAGAGAAGTGTACGCGAATGTGATGCCATACTGTCTGCTTGGTATATCTGTGTATGAAAAGGAGCATTTCATATGACATCAGTCATCCATTTCCAATATTGTCAAACCCTTTACTACGTTAATAAAAAAATAGTACACTGACAACAACAGCAACAACAACACAACAGTCCTAATTACAATGGGTAGCCTCAGCAATATTGTTAGCGTTCTACCTGCGGGTCCTGCCAACTATCTCCCAACATTGCCAGGCACCCATTCAATAGACAAAGGTCGAGAGGCAAAACATCTTGTTCAAGAAAGTAAGCATCGAACAAGGATTAAACCCGTGACCATCGTATGACGATCAGAGGCATGCAGTGCTTCCAAGTAATTAGAACAATTAAATATATAAATTTATACTGTCTTTTCCAATCACCAATATACCTACCCACATAACTCTCCTTGTCCAGCCAGTTCAGTGTAACTTACGAAGGATTATAATGGATATGCTGTGATAGCATTGAATGTCAGTTTATGAACGCTCAATAACGAAAGGAGGCACTTGTTATAAGTTGTTAACCGAAACAATAATTTATGAGCAAATTTGCAAGTGAAATCTAATAAAAGGAAAATTTATCGATTATCTGCTTCCTGCTTTGTGGTTTCTTCTTTTACAGCGATGACACAATTCTGTTAATGAGATAATGTAATTACATTGAGTTGCATCACAAAACATCACATCACGAAATATGATATGAAACCTATCATATTACAAAATATGATATGAAACCTATACAAACATGCGTGACTTTTTCTTAGGTGATTGGTACAGTCAAGCACTCGTTTATCCAAGATAACAGATCCCGGATACAAAAGGTATAAGAGGACGCTTACATCGGATGTTCGTAGTCACGCGAAGGTTCTTTAAACAGTTTCTGTATAACCACAGAACAAAGAAACAAATCAAATTAAAAATCTCTTTCGGGCTTCCTAATTTTGTAAAGACTAATCAAGGTTATAAAATGGCAATTATATATTTACCAAATTAGCGGACTGCTTAATCTAGGAGCATGTTTTTAGCTCCCCTTCTTTGTTGATTAAAAAATATATTACATAAAACAATAAATATGGTGAGATAATATTCGTTCTTTTGCAAACATCAATGTATGAGAAAAGACCTTCATTTTCTCCGTCAAGATGGAAAATTCATTAATTAAACACATAATTATTTCCTCCACAGAACTGAAATGCAATCCCTCCCCAGTAATGAGTGCCATAGGAATAGCATCGTTGTGTTTCCTTATCTTTATCAACACTCCGTCACGTGAAGAAATTTTTATCAAATTCTATTCCGTCTGCCGTTTTGGGATGATGCCAATACATGAATATACATGTATATATATAGTACAGAATTATTTAGCCTATGTATAATTTTACAAAATCAGCACTGACCCACAATTTAGAATAATGGAATCACGTGACTTATCTTGGCGCTAAATGATTGATGATCTCTTCCTAGATTTTATGACTTCAAAAGAAGAGTCCTTACATTGCATTTCACTCTAGTTGTACCATTTAGCTAATGCAGATGGATAGGTTATCAATAAACCTGATATGCCTTAATGCAACGTGATAATACGTGCATGTATAAGGATAATACGCCAAGATTCCGCAGTCTAAGATTAATGTTTTCATATTTTTCCTGTACTACAATACACTCTCACGACACATTTTTTTGTTTTCAATGATATTTTATTTTCTCCATTGCTTTTCACAAACAATAACAAAATCAATACATAAAATAATCTGCATGTTAATATTATTATATAGAATATGATTTTACATTCACATCTAAATAATACAAATGAAATTTTACTATTTACATCAAATAAAGCATGAAACATGCATGCATGAAGAAGGCATGAACATAAAAAGACATTTAAGAGAAGAAAAAAAGAAGAAGAAAAAAAAGAAAAAAAAAATACTTACATACACACATACACACACGTGCACAGACACCCACACACACACCCACTTAAAACATGCCTACATTTTGTGGGAATCTCGACCATTATATCAGCCATGTCCATTTCATTGCTTCTATTCGCCTTCCTTATTTTATTTATTCTGCACGAAGCTATTCTAAATTGTCCCACTTTCTAAAATGATATGTGAGTGTACCTCGGTCCCCAGCTAATTTCTTCTCCTCCTTTCTATTTTCTAATAATCTTTTCTTAATCTCTAAATAAGTTGGTGGTTTTTGTCTATTTTTACTATCTATAAATATCATATATTTTATCAAAATTATGATATGATTTAATAACTGTTCCTTCCCTATGTTAAACTCAACTATCCCTACATGGATACCTTTCCAATTTATATTTGTAATTTCTACTAAATTAAATGAATTCCCACACTCTTCCCAAATTGGTTTTATAGTACAGCGGATTAGCTCCCCATATAACGAGAATTGTGCACTTTTTGATAAAAGCATGAAACTTCTAGCATAGTTAGTTTAGACCATAAGATTCATTTTCAGATGTGGAGGGAAGTCAGATTTGACCTCTGATGACCCTGAGAGGTCAAATTCAAAATGGCCGCCAGTCCGCATGGTCTAATGTACAAACACGCTTAACTTTTGAACCAAATAGTCCAGAAAAACATTTAAGGTGTCGTTTCCAACTAAATTGAGGATGCCAATGCATTTGGTAATACTTTTGAGATCGCCAGATTTCGGGGTAACGTTTTGCATTTAGGTCAAGGTTAAGGTCAAAATTGACTAAAAATAGCAAGTTTTCAATGTTTACAACGAAACAAATCCCATTTATTTGTCATTTGTTCGCTCCTATGTTCTCAAATTTCTTTAAGAGTGGTTCCCCTGCAGACCATGATATTCATTTTCAGATGTAGAGCGAAATCAGATTTGACCTCTGATGACCCTGAGAGGTCAAATAAAAAATGGCTGCCAGTCCCGCCTATTCAAAAACACTTAACTTTTGACCAAATAGTCCAGAAAAACGATTAAGGTATCATTTCTAACTAAATTGGGGATGCCAATTCATTTGGTAATACTTTTGGGATCGCCAGAACTCAGGGTTTTTAAATTAGGTCAAGGTCAAGGTCGAAATTGACTATAAATAGCAAGTTTTTAATGTTTACCAAAAAAAACAAAAAACGGAGAGGATCACTTTGTGATCATGTTTGGTGGTCTACACATCGAGATGGCCATGTTGAAGTTGTTGGGAGACTGGTTGGAAGACAGTGGCTGGACAAACGCCATGGTACAGGCCGACATTGCAAGTTCCGGGACAGCAAATTCCTTCATACATGCTAGCCATGTCACCAAGACCCGCCATGCCCACCAGGTCACAGCTGCGAGCCTTTTTACTCTCCTCCAACAAGCTTACATTGACGAATGCACATTAGATGATACTGATGCCATTCAACCAGATAGTCCGCCTTTTGAGGAGTGGTGCGTACGGAGAGCAAAGGCCTGTGTTCACTTTGACTTCTGGCTTAAGACCCTGTCATTAGAGCTTCTGTTGCTGCGGTACATCAGGTCTCTTCGTGAAGGTAACTTCAAGCTGTACGTGGAATCCCTGACGCAGATTATGCCCTGGATGTTCGCCCTAGATCACACGCACTACTCCAGATGGCTTTCCGTACACATCCGTGACATGACAACTCTCGCTGTAAAACACCCAGATGTACTAGCAGAATTCATGTCTGGAAATTTTGTAGTGCACAAAACCAGCAACAAATTTTCTGCCATGGCAATTGACCAGTGTCATGAGCAGAACAACGCAACAGTGAAAGGTTCTGGAGGAGCTATTGGACTTACTGGCAATCCAGGAGCACTCTGACGCTGGATGGTAGCAAGGCCAGAAATTGCCAGGATCACTACAGAATTTGAGGAACAGGCCATAGAGCAAAATAATGGTTCTGCTCACACTGGACAACATCACCATGACCAGCAACCTGGAGTGCAGGCAGCATTCCTGAGGGATGTTACGGCACTTCTGAAAGTACTGGAAGAGATGGGGAATCCATTTCTAGAACAAAGTCAAGACCTGCTAGTCTTTGACACAAGCGACATCATGGACCCCCAAGTGGCTGAAACGGTGAGAAGGATTGAGACCCTCGGTGAGGAGCAGTACACAAAGTTTGTGACAGAAAGGCTAGAGCAGTGTACAACACCTATTACACAAACACTTCCTAAGAACCAGTTGCCACTTTTCAGTCGGCAGCCGGCCAAGGTTATGTCAAAACAGAAGGCACAGCTCGCAGCATTTAAGGGTGATTGTGGTCTATTTTCGAGGCTGTACATCTTGTGTCAGACACGGGATGGAGACATGGACAATTTCTTCTCCCATGAAAACCAGGCAGCCCCGCCAGCTCTGGCAACTGGAGGAAAAATGCGGTTTGGAGTTAAAGCAGATCTACTTCGCTGCCTGGAATCAAATCTGCTCGAAAACAATAGTGCACCTGTGGCCCAAGCAATAATTCTTGATGGTGCAGCTGTGGTTCAAATGCTCAATCCTGGAACATCAAGAACATTTCAAGAGTATGGAGAAAGAGTGTTTGCCCCATACATCTTTGCTCAACTAGAGAAAAGCATCTGCATTGACCTTGTCTGGGATGTATACTTACCTGCTAGCCTGAAAGCCTCAACAAGACAGAAAAGGGGAAAGGGCACCAGGAAAAGGGTGGCTCCTTCTACTGTGCTGCCAAAAAACTGGAAGGACTTCCTCCGAGTCGATGAGAACAAAACTGAATTATATTTGCTTTCCTGTCACGCGAAGCCGTTAATCTTCCTCTACCACAGGACAAGGAACTATACGCAACAGATGGAAGTGGAGTACTCTGTTCTCCTGCTGAGTCACACTTGGCAGGCCTTGCCCCATGCTCGCACGACGAGGCTGTCACTCGTCTACTTTTGCATGTGGCAGATGCTGTGCAAAAAGGGTGCAAAAATTAGGTAACCATACGTACCGTTGATACTGATGTGGTTGTACTTGCCGTGGCTTCATTCAGCAATGCAGCTCCTAATGAG